TCTGCTTCCCAAAGAGGGAGAAGGGGAATCAGGAAAGACTCAGAAAAGCACGGTGGACACAGGACTGGATAAGACTGGATCTGTCGCATCGCGCGCTTACAAGACACACGTGCACATACACACACACACACACTGGGTGTTTGGTGTCGGTGACGTCCATGTCTTCAACACTTTAGGATTAAGATGCATCATTTAAATCTGGTTTAAGCCAACGTGGCATTCCATGCATTCTTCATTCATGGAAAATAAAAAAAATAAAAAGAGAGAAAAACAAAGACAGATATTTTTCAGCATGCATGCGATCAACAACGGGACTTTTTCTTTGAACAAAGGAACGAACACACACACACACACACACAGCGTTCACATCCACAGCAGAAGAACTTGTGGCGACTCTCTCTCTCTCTCTCAAAGAGTTCGGTGTTAACGTGCATGCCTTGTGGTTATAACACCATCGTTTTCCTGTAGTGCCCTATCACACTGTCCTTCACTCTGTCTGCAGCAACAACAGCGGGAAATATTGGACCAACACACACACACACACAGGCCCCGAAACCACAAGTTGAACAAACTCCCCTCACGCCACCATCTTGTATATTTCATGCACTTTCGACCAGCAGAGATGAGTGGAGTCGACGGAAGGAATTGATTGGTTGCTCGCTATTTATTGAAAAAAAAAGAAAAGAAAATAAGGGTCGTGGTCCCTGTGTTGAAGACTTCTGTTTTAAGATAGTGGAAAAAAAATAACAACTGTAAAAATCCAGGTTTTGATTCTAAACATCAAAGGTGACAACAAAAAAAAGAACACGAAAATGCAGTACCGTCATAGACCACTAGAGGTCATGGACTCTGTTGTGAAGACCTTTTATACGAATGAAAACAAAAAAAAAATCCACTAATATCCAGGTATTTATTTCAAACATAGGTAACTTTAAAATAATCACTGCTCCCCCGCAGTACCTCCATAGACCGCTAGAGGTCATGGACTCTATTGTGAAGACCTTTTATACGAATGAAAACAAAAAAAAAATCCACTAATATCCAGGTATTTATTTCAAACATAGGTAACTTTAAAATAATCACTGCTCCCCCGCAGTACCTCCATAGACCGCTAGAGGTCATGGACTTTATTGTGAAGACCTTTTATACGAATGAAAAAAAAAACCCCACTTTTATCTAGGTTTATATTTCAAACAAACTGTAGGTAACTTCAAAATAATCACTGCTTCCCCGCAGTACCTCCATAGACCACTAGAGGTCATGGACTCTATTGTGAAGACCTTTGATACGAATGAAAAAAAAAACCCACTAATATCCAGGTATTTATTTCAAACTGTAGGTAACTTTAAAATAATCACAGCTCCCCCGCAGTACCTCCATAGACCGCTAGAGGTCATGGACTCTATTGTGAAGACCTTTTATACGAATGAAAAAAAAAACCCACTAATATCCAGGTATTTATTTCAAACTGTAGGTAACTTTAAAATAATCACAGCTCCCCCGCAGTACCTCCATAGACCGCTAGAGGTCATGGACTCTATTGTGAAGACCTTTTATACGAATGAAAAAAAAAACCCACTAATATCCAGGTATTTATTTCAAACATAGGTAACTTTAAAATAATCACTGCTTCCCCGCAGTACCTCTACAGACCACTAGAGGTCATGGATCCTCTGTTGAACCATTCACACATTCTCCTCTAACCATTTCATACCGTAAACACAGTCCACTGTGAATCTAATGTAGCCAGACTGAGGGACACTGTGTTGTTTCTTTCATTTTTGACAACTTTGTATTTTGATTTTTTTTTCTGATGTCAGAGCAAAAAAAAAAAAAGAAAAAAAAAGGAAATAGAAAATGACGAGCTGTAGTATTTTTTTAATTTATGTTTATTTTGCAGATGTCTTAATAAGCAATGTACTGCACAAAGTAGAGTGTGTTTTGTCAGTCAGACGAGCTTTCTCTCCAGGTTGGCGGGAGGGGGAGGGAG